ATTTGTTACCTTACTATCTTAGATATTTTGAATGTCTTTTTCATTTGCAGATTATTATTTAAGTTATTCAAAATTATTCAATTTCATCACATTGATGTGGATCCAAAATGTATCTCACATGAAATTTCCAGCAAGTCTACCCAGGTCTCAGTCTTTTCCCCAGGGAATGAAATGGCAGCAACATGTACAATGCAAGCTCACTCATGAGACAGGATCAGACGCATACAGGTTGTATAACCATAGACAATGTGAGCTCATTCATCATCCAGGGGTTGGCAGGATTGGGAAGGACTTTCGTTAATAAGTGAATGCAAAATAGGAAATTGAAAGATCATGCTTGGACTCAGTCAATGATTTCCTTGCCTCTTATGATCTATTTGATATATTTTTCTATGTATCCAATTCTCTATCTTTGTAATGACACTTGGGCATACAGATTAACACATTTCACTCTTAAGTGTATATCATTAAAGGCAGACAGCCACAAGTAGTTAGAATTCCAAGAACATACAATACAAGGCAAAGATGTTCAAATCTTATCTTACAGTATATACTAAAGTTAACTCAAAAACAGATTAGTAGATTAGATACAAAAACTAAAATCATAAAAATTTCAGAAGAAAATAGAATGTTCTCATTGGATTCTGCAAAGTATTCTGAAATACAAAGCATGTTAACAAGAAAAACAAAATTCACTGTAGTACTCTTCAGTGAAAGGAAGCCTTTGTTAAGCAAATGGCACATAAATCTGTAACAAAGAACAATGGAACAAGATAGAAAGCATAAAAATGATTCCAGAAATTTATAGATAAATAGTAGTTCAATTATTTTTTTAAATAAAGGCAATCCAAGTTTATTCACCATACATGTAACAAAGGTCATGCCAGTTTTTGGAATTACAATGATACACATGATTAAATATACCTACCCATATTTGGGATTTACATGAATAATTTTATTGTAACATATTAATGATGTTTTGTCATAACACTTTGCTATGTAATAATTCTTCACCCTTGTCTTCAATCCCCAGTACTTTCTTCTGAATAATCTTATCTACTGCTGACATTTTCCATATATCACAAAACGTAAGAAATGAAGGTTGGGGATATACTGATGTGTGCAGTAAGCTATTGAAAAATGGGTGATGGGAGATATAGGAGTAAGGGATAGTAATGGAAGATGTCGAACAGACCAACCTAAAGTATACTGACAGTGGGCATACATTGAGATGCACCTTTGAACATCAACTAAGATATATATTAATTTGAAGCATTTCGTTCGTTCTTTTTTTTTCTTTTTTGGACTCTCTTGTTCACGTATGGTGGCTCACATGTAATCCTATCTAATCTGGAGGCACAGATCAGGAGGATGATTATTTGAGGTCAACCTAGGCAAAAACTTAGTGAGATTTCTGAAGCAATAAAAAACTGGCATGTTAATGTGTTCCTGTCATCTCAGCAGTGTGGGAAACAGAAGTAGTAAGATCTCAGTCCAGGTTGACCCACGTATAAACATAAGATCTTGTTCAAAAAGTAACTAAAGTGAAAAGGGCTGGGCTTATAGTTCAGGTGGCAAAGTGTGCTCTGAAGAACAAGTGCAAGACCCTGTATGCAAACACACTTTCTGCCAAAGAAACACGAATATCATTTTGTTGAATTTTTCATCTAAATCTGGTACTGACATCTTTAATTCATTTATAAGTTTCTTTGTCTCTTTTGGGAGGAACTGACAATATCTAAAATTAAACTTGTGATTTCTTTGTCAATCATTTTAACCATTTCAAAATATATTAAATGGTTACTATGAGTTATGGACTTTGGAAGAGTACTGTTCCTTGTGTTTGAGCTTTGTGATTTGCAAATCTGTTGGGATGGATATCTCTTCTTGTTTTATACGGGAGTCTTCTTTAGCAAACAATCTTCTTTGTATTGTTTATATTAGCATATAATTGTTGTAGGGGGGACTGTGACATTTCCATAAATGAATATAATATAGTCTTGTTTGATTCATTCCCTTTATTGTTCTCCCTCTTCTCTCTGCCTTTTCTTAAAATGACTTCAACAGATTTCAATATTTCATATTCATATATGTGTAGAAATACATAAACCATATTCACCTTCCATTACTGTCCTCATCACACTAGTACCTTCCCCTTAATATAGCCAGTTTTTCATTCCTGTCCTTCATTGTTTAAGTGTATGTTCATTGATAAGTGGGGCTTTGTACTTTAATCAGTCTAACCCCCCTCTATTTTCTTCTAAGGTATCACTCTGGGGTGAGAAAGCAGAACAGAATGAGAGCAAAAACAAAATCAGATATTTCAACCTAGTAAAACTAAAATGTGAATAAATTCCTACAGTCTCAGTAAGGATAGATAAGAAAGTAGGAAATAAAGTAAATAAAATTAAATTATCAATTATGAAATTAATATTAATATTAATATTAATGGGAGCTATGGAAAGCAAGTGAGAGAAGAACAACATAGATAAGAAAGGAAAATATTCAAAGAAAGAACGAAAAATCACAGTGAAAGGAAAAATAAAACATATACAGAGCCAGGCAAAGCAATGAAAAAACACTCAGCAGTCCCTATTTGCTGAGAACAGGGAAAATCAAACTGCTTCAATTTCTACCGAAGCTTCTCATTTTATAGTATACTTTTGTTGTAGTTAGTAGGAACCCACCTATTCCTGGAGCAATAAGACAGAAATAACAAAATGTTTTATGCATCAGGCACAGAGTATGACAATTTATTTTTGAATTTTGCCTCCTCCACTTATTATTTTTATGATGTAAGCAGTATCTCTTATTTCTAAGATATAGGCAAGTTGTTAGCATTCCTGAGACGTAACTTTGTCATCTGTGTTGATTGTACTACTGCACTGATTAAGGAATAAACAAAAATGGAAGCATCCAATGTGGTGAAAAGGTAAAATAGAACTGAGATATTTTTATGATTATTAAAGACAGGTTAACTTTCATACCCTTCAACTAACACATTGTGTAATCTGAAGTTAATGTATTCCTACTCATGCTTTGGATATTCTATTTTAGTCACTATAAATGGATATTATGTTTCTTTGGTAAAGCATGACTACTTTCCATTTCTAATGCCCAGAGCTATTCTTGCATGGCACAGAAGAAGCATCAAAAATATTCTGTTGAACATGAAATCACCCAATGATTCAATCACCAAACTGACCAAAATCAGTTTCATTCAACTCATTCGTGGTTTCCTATCTGAACTTCCATTCCTTGCAGGAATTCCCCATAGAAATCAGGATTAAATAATAGCCTCTTGTTTATGTCTATATATTAAATATCTGGACTCTATATTTTCATGTAATATGACCTGTATCATTAATCTCTTTATAGACAATGGCAAATTTTTGTGTGGATGAAAGAGCAAAATGGCATAGGTTTACCTACCTTAGTTTTTAGGTCAGACACATTTAAATTTTATGTCTCCAAGATCCAGTGCACATAGGCAATTGTATTCATCAAGAAAGTAGATATTTTGATAATGATGAAATTATTTATTTGAGAAGAGTTATTTGGGCCAAACATTAATTAAATTCTACATATCTCTAAGATATCAAACAGGTATTGGAGATCCACGTTATTCTGTCATTTCCTGTAAATTGTATGAGCACTGAGAGATGGTAAGATTTACATACATTGTCTACACTAAGCATGTCAATGTTAAGAGACTAATTGTTAAATGTATGAGACCCTTATCAGTCCACTTTCTCATGTACTGTAGCCACAAAGAACTACCATTCTCTTTACAAGATTAAGTTACTCAGTGTTTTATATTGAAGGATATGTCTAGGCCAGCTGGAAGATGACTTGATTGTATTTCTCAAGAATAAAGAACATACTTGATACATTCCAAAGTGTTATTGGTACACCAAATATAGTTAACTAAGAGTGAAACTGAAAATGCATTAAAATTTTGGAAATCAAAAGTTAGCTTTAATCTCAGATTACTGAGAAAGTCTCATTCTTGGAGTATGGAGATAGGCTTAAATTTTCAAAGTGTTGTCATAATAATAACCTGATAAATAAATGATATCCTTACTTCTTTCACTGCTACATATCACTTAGTGCATTTGAAGTGAATATGCAATGTCATAATCCCATTTAAAAATGTAGGTCCAAGTAAATTATTAGATTTCATTAGCAAAAGGTACTGTATTGCACACTACTTAATGATCTTTAGTTACATTTGAGATAATTTTTTAAAGAAAACAATTTATTTTTGCATAAATCAGTACTGACAGAAATATTGAGAGGAAATCCTTACAAATTCCTGCGTATATTTGCCTTTGACACAATGGGATCATTTGAAGGGAGATACAAGAATTCAAATTTTTGGGTAATTAAATTCTTAGTTTATTGAGAATGAGGGTTCATTACTATGAAAGACTACATAATATTTCCAATTCTTTGTCAAACAATAGGTTGTGATTTATTGAAATCATAGAATTGCTATGACTGTTTTTTCACTATAATTAAGTGATACAAGCAGGTGAATGCAAAAAGTTAAAATATAAACAGTAGTAGAAAGAGTGGATTTGTCAAAATGGAGAAGCCAGGCATGTTGACTGTGAGGAAGGAATTTCATGATGTTTAGTTCTGGGCTACATAGCTAGATGCTGTGACAAAATTAAGCAAGCAAAAAATTCTGAGAAACATTTTGAAATATATGGCTTCTTGTGAATATATCATTTCTAAATTATTAAATTCAGAGTATGCATAAATTATTAAATATCTCTTAAGTTTCTCAATCTTTTTCTTTTTTTTAAAGGTGTTCAAGACATACAGAATCCACAAATCTAACAATTTTCCCAGAATTCCATCTCCTGGGACTCTCAGAGTATCCAGAACTGCAGCCCATTCTCTATGGACTTTTCCTCCTTATGTACCTTGTCACAGTGCTTGGAAACTTGCTCATCATCCTGGTTGTCAGCTCTGAATCTCACCTCCACACACCCATGTACTTTTTCCTCTCAAACCTGTCCTTCGCTGACATCTGTTTCATCTCCTCAACAGTCCCAAAGATGCTTACAGATATCCAATCTCACAGCAGAGTCATCTCCTATGTGGGCTGCCAGACTCAGATGTCTCCTTTTCTCTTTTTTGTATGTATGGATGATATGCTGCTGACTGTGATGGCCTATGACAGGTTTGTGGCTATATGTCACCCCCTGCATTACCCAGTTATTATGAACTCCCACTTCTGTGTCTTCTTAGTTTTCATGTCATTTCTGTTTAGCCTTGTGGCGTCCCAGATACACAATTTGATTGTGTTACAATTTCCCTTTTTTAAGGATGTGGAAATTGGTAATTTCTTCTGTGACGCTTCTCAACTCCGTAATCTTACCTGTTCTGATTCCTTCACAAATTACATAGTCAAGTATTTTGTTGGTGCTATATTTGGTTTTCTCCCAATCTCTTGAATCCTTTTCTCTTACTATAAAATTATTTCATCTATTCTTAGGAACCCATCAGCAGGTGGTAAATACAAAGCCTTTTCCACCTGTGGGTCTCACCTGTCAGTTGCTTATTTATTTTATGGATCAGCTGCTGGAGAGTACCTTGGTTCAGTTGTATCATCTTCTCCCAGGAAGGCAGCAGTGGCCTCGGTGATATACACTGTTGTCACCCCTATGCTAAATCCCTTCATCTACAGCCCAAGGAACAGGGACATTCAAATTGCCCTCTGGAGACTGCATGGCAGTTCAATATAATCTCATTTTCTCTTTCATTCTTTTTCTAGAGTATGTTGGAAAATCCCATAATCCAAAACTACACATTTTCTCCTTAGCCATATTATATGTCTAGTTTGAAAACTTTCATTTTTATCCATTTTATGTATCTAAATATTGTTTCTTCTATGCCCACATTGGACATAAACAGAAACATCACAACTGCCAACATACCTGTGGAACCATTGTAGTTTCTGAGCAAAGACCCTGACCTCCAAGTGAAATGCAAAACTCTTTCTATAAAATTCAAATTGAATCTGTTTTCACAGCTTAAATATAGTTTCCTTAAGAATTCCACATCTAGTACCAATTTAACTAGGCAATGTCCGAGGGTATCACTATTACTAAATTTGGCTTTTATTGGAATCACCTTGAGAAGTAAAATACAGATAACTAGTTTTCATTTCCATAAATTCTGATTTACGTGGACCTTTCTACTTATGAGTAGAAATCCTTCACAGATAATTCAGATGATAGTTTTTAAAAGTTTTAAGCCATAGTGGGCAAGTAAGGGTTGCCTTATTGTAGTATCAGCTGAAATGATTTCTTCAATTATCTGCTTTAACCACATTGTCCTTCAACACCACACACTTTGTGCTTATGCTAGTTTTTAAGCTACTGTGTTTCTCCTCCAAACTCTCCCTCTGTTATTATCCTTTTTTCTTAAACTACTGGGTATCAAACACTCGGCTTCATGCTCACTATGCAATGCCTCTACCACTGAGCTGTACATATAGCTGCTATCAATATAATTTAATGCTGAGTGGGGATACTCTACTTTCCATCTGGTTTTGTTGTTACACACTTCCATTCATTGTCATTAATTTTCACTACATTAAATCTGAATATATTTCACTAATCCCTTCCCATCCCTAATCTTCAGTGCTGTAAAGCCTCCATTTTGTTGCTGTCTCTTTGATAATATGCTGCATTTTGTGTTCATCCTGCAATTAAGAATCAAATCGGCATCTCATACTCAACTATGTCTGCAAAATACTTATATTTGTTTCTATTCATAGAAAGAAATCTAAGTAATAAACTGTAAAATGTAGAAAAATGTGAGTCATTAGATATTGCAGTATTTTAAAAGTAGTTAATAGCAGGTTTAACATATGCTATTGTACAGAGTGTCTAAGTGAAGTTTCATTGGTGGTATCCTATTCTATGTTTTCCATACAAGTCTAACACTGCCACCCTCCTTGGTATCTGGCTTTCATTTGTGTCATGTGTTCTCCCTCTCTCATGTGTTCACACCACTGTAATCTAATTGGCCATTAGGTCCTCATCATAGCTGAAACCATGATGTTTGGATTTTGCATGCAAAAGTGTCAATTAAGTAAATCTCTTTTCCTTATAACGAACTCAGAATCAGGTGTTTTGTGCAGCAATGGAAATGGCCCGATACAGGAGCACAATATGCTTTACTCAGTCCACTATGTCAAATGAAAATCTCAGTAAAACATAGACCCTCACACATATACTCATAGAATAATATTTTTACCAGATATCTGGTACCCATGTTCTATGAACTTCACACATAAAAATAAAGTTATATTGACTCACAATAATACATATGTGTTTGCTCCCTGGATTTTGACAATCTGTAGTATTATCCATCAATTCCTGAAAGAAATTTGTGGATTGTTCATTTTGAAATCAGAAAGAATACTTTTTACTTCACTTTACTTTTAACTTTACTTTACTATCTGTAAAGTACTCTGACAATTTCTGGCTGGACTAGCAAACACAGACAATACAAAGGTGTGAGATTTTCAACACTTGAAACTCCCCAGACCTTAACAATTAACTTGAGACCTTTTCTAGGTTATAACTTTCCACATTATTCTACAAAAATTATGTGCTATTATGTGCTGTTTCTTGCTCCAGATTGCTTAAGTCTTATGGTACACAAACAGTTGTTCAAATTTATGTACCTTTGGGATCCATTGCTAGAAGATCTAACTCAGCCACCCTATTCCTCCACTAGCAGTCTTTTCTTTAACTCTTGGATGCTACACTAGTAAGTTAGGTGCCAGAGAACTTACCTTTCATTGTCATAATACAGTTTTAGATAATTTTGTGAAAGACCAGGTGAAGTGATTCTATCAAAAGAATTTTTATTTTAAAAAGTGAGAATCAAGACATTTAAAATCAGCTACATATTATAAATAGTATGAATTTTAATATGAGAAATGCATTCAATTTAACTTTCTTAACTGTATGTTTACAACTACAACACACGTATCCAAGAGAGTGCTTGGAAAGATGTAGTCTGATATATTGACTAAGGCAATCTGTAGTGCATTATAATGAACCAAAAATTTAAAACTTGAATTCTCAACTTAATATATTCCACAGTGGAACTAAAGGAAGAAAACTATCTTTACAATATAAGCTCTTGAATTTATTATACGTGTCAGGGCCAGAAGTCAGTACTCATCACTGACATCTTGGAAGTTCTCTTTTTTTCTCTTTATTTTTGGCAGAAGTACTGTTTGAACTCAGGGCTTCATTCTTGCTAGGCAGACACTCTACCACTTGACTCAAGCCTCCAGCCCTTTGTGCTCTAGATATTTTAGAGATATGGTCACCATTTTTGCCTAGACTTATGTGGACCACAGTTCTACTTTACAATTTCCACTGATGTTGGTATGACAGGCATAGGCCACAAAACCCAGCTTTTCTTTCCCTTTGAGATGGTTCTTTTTTATTGTTTTACTGTGTAGGGATATATTGTAACATTTATAAAATTCTTAAAATATATTAAGTATATCATACTTGAATTTACCCCTTCCACTATTTCGCTCTGTTCCCCTCCCCCTGTTCCTTTTTTTCATTTTTTTGATTTAGATACATGTGTACACCATATTTGCACCATATTCAACCTCATACACCCTTTCCTCATCTCCTCCCCTCTCTCACTCTTATTGTCCCCAGGCAGAACTTGTTCTGCCTTGTTGTTCTCAGATTTTGTAAAAGAAAAAACATTAAATGACAGTTTTGTTTATTTAAGATAACTACACAGAATCCTGATACCAGTGGTTCATGCCTGTAATAGTAGTTACTCAGAAGGCAGAGATCAGGAGGATGGTTTCAAAGCCAGCCTGAGCAAATACTTTGCAAGATCCTATCTCAGATAAACCCTTCAACAAAAGGGCTCACAGAATGGCTCAAGGTGTATGACCTGAGTTCAAAACACAGTACTGTAATACACACACACACATATATATATATACATATATATGTATGTAAATGTAGTGCTATACAAGGAGTTTCTGTGGCACTTAAATGCTTATATGCATTATAACCCAAATTGTTTTATCTCCTCTATATTTCTTCATCCTAACTTAGTCCCTTTCTTATCATTCTTTTGAATGGTTTAAGAGTTCTATATTAATTCTTATGTAGAGAGTATATCAACCATACTCACCTTTATTTCCTTCTCTTGTGTGTCTTGTGTGCGAACCTCCCCTTAGTGTAACCTGTTTTTCACAATATTGCTGTGGTTGTATTAGTCCTAAATTCCACATGAGAGAACATATGCAGCTTTTGGCCTTCTTCACTTGAGATGATGCTCTCCAATTCCATCCATTTATCTGTAAATTACAAAATTTCATTCTTCTTTATGGCTGAGTATAAATTCATCATAAATAAATTCCACATTTTCTTAATCCAATCATCATTAGTGGTTCATCTTGGCTGTTACCACACCTTAGGTCTTGTGAATAATGCAGTAATAAACATGGCTGTGCAGGTGCTTTGTTGTAACCTGACTTACATTCCTTTGGTTATATCCCTAGGAGTGGAATTGCTGGATCATAAGGATGTTCTATTCTTAGCTTTTTGAAGAAACTTCAAACTGTTTCCCATAGTGGATGTACTAGTTTGCAACCACTATGTATGGTGTTGCAGTGTTTGAGTGTTCCCTTTTCCCTACATCCTGACCAACATTTGTTGTTCTTTGTATTCTTGATGATATCTAGTCTAACAGGAGTGAGCAGAACCTTAATATGGTGTTTATTTACATTTCCTTTATGGCAAATGATGTTGAACATTTCTCTGTATTTTTTTTAATGATTTATACTTCTTCCTTTGAAAATGCTGTGTTCAGGGAGTTCAAAATGGCTGATAGCTAAAAGATGCAGAAACCCTGAGCTGTAAGAAAAATACTTCAGAGTCATGATAGCAAGAATCAGGTAATTCTTATTTTTTAGCCAACTAAATTACCACCAACACAGAGAATGCACGTAAATTTCAATGACTGACCCTTAAAATACCTTTTAAGTGCACATAACAGCTGGGAAAGTCCCTACACAGCTGGGACTGTCACTTTCTCCCTTTTAATCTCTCTCTTCTTGTTTCCTCTTTTCTGGTTTGGAAAAGAAGAAAACTGCAAAACAAATTGAGCTAGTTTCTGTGACATCCTGGACCCATGCTACTACAGGAACACAGCCTACCTGCAGACACAGCTTCTCTTCACCCCATTGGGCCTGAACAAATTCAGCTGAATCTGCAAAACCACCAGGTAAGCATGACATATTTCCTGCCCTCATGGTAATCATACAGTCCAATGCATATGGTGGGTAGATTGCACCCCTCTCAGGCAAAATTTTTTGCCATAAGTGTAGAGCATTATTCTTCTGTGCTGGGTGAGTGTGGGGTGAAATATTCAGCAGACCTCCCAGAGTGGA